CAGATGTCCACTGCAGGGATTCTTCCTAGCACAGTTGACAGCCACATTTTCATAGGATTGGAGAGGGTATTTGGAAGAGATGTCAGCCTTAGCAATTTAATCAGCTGGACCGAAAGCAATCAAGATGCCATCTGGACCGACTCTGACTTCCTGCCCAGAAGATAAAGACATCTGGACTTAGTAAACGCCGAGGACGTGCTACCTTGGTCCCCAGGCCTGTGGGCTGCTCCTTGCTTCACATGCTTTCTTAATTGTGCACAATCTCTGGCTCCAAGCCACGGCTGGGGCCGCCGAGTGCCTGATTCTGTTGGTCACCAAGGGCTTCCCTGCTCACAACCAGTGACTACTGTGAGCCATGGTGACTTTCCAGTGCTAAGGAGATGGATTGACTGCAAAGGCCATTGTAAATAGTCCTCTTTTAATGATGAAGCGGGAGGTGGCTGCCCCAGGTCCAATTTATTGCTGTAATTAGGACACGTCATGACTTCTGATTGTTAAGTAGAGATGAGAGGAAATATTTGTACATGCAAAGAAGCTAATTAAGGTGGCTCACCAGCTGTGCATAACCAATCCGTGCGTACTGCGGTTCCTTCCTCCTGTATGGGGGGCCCTGGGTGGAGACCCAAGGACCTTGGCGAAGAGCTGAGGGACCAGAAGTAAAAGGTTAAGATCCTGCACAGAGGGCTTTTACTGTGGCAGCATCTGAATGGAATGCTGGCATGTGCTTTCTGCACCTTTTCCAGAGAAGGCTTGACCCTCACACACCAGCTCCTATTTTAAAGCAGAGCTCAGGTCCCTCCAATAAATGCTCAAAGCCAACGAACTTGGCAGGGTTGGAACCAAACTCTTCCCCACTTTTCTCTCCCCTCCCCTCCAGGAATAGGCACTATTTGTCCCAAGTAGACTCCTGAAATCCCAGTTCCCATAAGCAGCACTAATAAAACATGATCCAAATACCTCTCTCTCAGCTGCTACCTAGTTGGAATATATTGAAGGTTTTATAGTTTGGGCGAAGATTTGCTACTCTGGGGCAATTTTTATTTGAGAGTCTTTTTATTTCAAAATCACACAAAAAATATTGCACCTACAAGTGTCTACAAGTTACTATTATTTCAGACTTCAAAACCAAACCAAACCGACCCCAGTGGTAGGAATTTGTCCGCTTAGGTGGAGCGAGTCAGAGAGTTGGTCGGAACTTTGCATTCCCTCCAGCCTCTGTGCTCGGGAAGGGGCCGCTTCATGCTTTCCCTTTGCCTTTCTCACAGGCTGCGTTTATCTCCTCGCCTGTTTCCCATCCCGCTTCTATTACATTCCCGTTCTGAAAATCTTTTTCTTGAAAGACCTGTTGTGTTAACATTCGGTTCTTACTTCCATTGTGTCTCTAACTTTTCTCCCTCTCAGATTTTTATATTCCATTTTATTTCTGAACCCCACCTTTAGCTGCGGCTTTTCATCGTCTCGTCACCACCCCATTTGTCTCTTACTCGTCTGAACTCATTTTCTGTGGGGTCATCCTTTTTCTCGGTCTCTCGAGGGCCCAGCTGACACCCATTTGTTTTCTCCCCTTTTGGTTTGCAGGTCCCCAGGCTTTTGAGGTTGCCCAGATGGCTGGCGAGGTCCATACCCACCATCAGGCCAGGAGAGGAAAGGTGCCTTGCCTCTCGGCTTTGAGTTTCTGCCACGTCCAGGCCAGGAACCCAGTGGTCAGCTGAGCATGGCCACTAGGATGCCTGGTTGGAGGTAAGCCAGGGAGTGGTGAGCCCCAAACACCTGGGACACAGAGTGCCACACAGCTGTGGCACTGACCTTCACGGCAGGCAGTTCACTGCCAAGGTCCTACAAATCTAGTAGCTCTTGGCCTGTTTTTTGATTCCCCCAAATAAGATGCAAGTATATGGAACCTATAGGGAAGAAAATAGGAAGCCAAGAACTGGGAAGATTCTTGTTGGGATCTTTAACAAGGGAGAGAAAATCTATTTTGTATAGCTGAATATACATACATCATGATAAAGCCAGCCATAAATAGACGTTAAGGTAAGAGCAAAAGCTTTTACACAGAGATTCAATCAACAGTGGCCGAGTTGATGGGAAAAGTGTAAGACTGTAGTTCAGCCCCGGCCCAGTCTTCCTCTTCAGGACACAATCTGTTCCTGTTGCAAGTCTATTATTAACGAACAAACGAAAAAAAAGAAGAAGAAGAAAGAGGAAATTCTAGGACTCCCTTTCACTTTCTAATTATAGTTTAATTTACTTTAAACAAAACAAAAGTAAAAATTGAAATTTGTAGAGTCGATGATAAAATATAATGATCTATGTTATCAGAGGATTTAGTTTATTTATGACTGCACTGCATTACAGAATTCCTTGAAACCATAACCAAATCTACCACATTTTTTGATGACCCGATTTTTCAAAATTTAACTGCATGTATAATCTGCTGTGTAAAGTAGGGCTGAGAAACGTGCACATTAATATTCAAGAGCCTATAAGAAACCAAACACATGACAAAAAAACGTTTGCTTCATGTGAATCAGTAATGTTCGATTTGAGCTAGCTGTCCTAGCGACCTAGGCTGTGGCTTTCTGAGAAAAATGTGCCCCCCCACCCCGCCCCCTGCCCCGCCAAACAACCGGGGTGAGGCAGTGCAGTTTCGCGGTGTCTGGAGAGGTCACCCGTGATGCTGAAATGGCGTGCTGCCCTAGGGAACGACTGAACTCCCACCACGGTGAAGCCCTGTGGCAGGTTACGGTGCATGCTGGCTTTGGGCTCGAGGCTGTGTTTTGCTGCAGAGGAGAGAGTGGTGGGCAGGGTGCCGGGCAGAGGGTGGCCCATTCCCCATCCAGAAATTCTACCAGGAAAATTGCCTGACCACGGCCACTCCCCCAGAGTAGGTGTGCCTTCTGTTGAGGTGTTATTTTTCTTTACACTTGCACTTGCAAAATTGGGATTAAAAGTCTTTTTTAAAAAATTACAGCTTAAATGTTAACTATGTAACATTTTCATAAGGAAGTTGAGAAAAATAGCTACCTTTTTGTTTTCTTGAGAAAATAATATTAATACCTAGCACACAGTGCTTACCATGGCCAGCTGCTGTTCTAAGTACTTTACAAATATTAACTCACTTAATCTTTTGACTACACTCTGAGCAGTCATTTCTGGGTAAAGAAACAGAAAGAAGCTAAATAAGTGCCTCAAGGTCATTCAGCTATATGACTGAGAGGGGACTTGAACCTAGGGAGCACGGCACCGGAGAGAAAGCAGGAGAAGGAAGGTGAGAGAAGTCTGAAGGAAGGAAAGGCCATGCAGATGACTAATTTGCCCCCAACCCGCCCTGAAACTGCCCTCAGCACAGGGTCTGAACTGAAACCAGGGCCTCTGGGAGTGGAGAGCGGTCCAGCTTGAGAAGCAAGGGGTCGACTGTATATGTAGAAGGCTCTGTGGGACGTCTGAGAGACCTGCCCAGCCACCCTGTCTCCCCAGCACTTAGATCCACTTTCCCTTTGGGCTACAAATGAGAAATGCTGCTTTGGCCAGGGTCTCATGCTCAAGAGCTGAGCAACATTCGGAGAACGCCGGCCCATTGGTCTGCGACCTCCAGCTCGGCCTCACTCCCTAGCCTCTATTTTGTGCCACTTGCCGAGTCTCCTGTTGTCTCAGTAAACAGAAGTCCCGTTGTGTAGTCTAGCTCTGCGGGTTGCCTGAGCAGCACTGGCAGGCAGAAACATGAAGGGGGCCATAAACGGAATTAAACATTTTCTGCTAGCCCATTGCTATGTTTGTGTCCCTTCAAAACGCACACGTTTTAACCCCAATCCCCAGTTTCATAGTATTTGGAGGTGGGGCTTTTGAGAAATAATTAGGTCATGAGGGCGGAGACCTTGTAGTGATTTGTGCCCTTGTAATAAGAGACAAGAAGAGACGATCCTCTCCCCCACCAAGGGAGAGTACAGCATGAGGAGGCCAATTCCAAACCAGAAGGGGGCGCTCACCAGATGCTGAGTCTGCCAGCACCTTGATCTTTCTTATAGACTTCCCAGCCTCCAGAATGGGGAGAAATGTTTGTTGTTGAAACCACCCAGTTAATGGTATTCTGTTGCAGCAGCCTGAGCAGACCAAGACATCTACATTAAAAGTGTAAAAAGAGGCAGATGAGATTCATTTTAATAATATATTTTATTTAGCCCAATATATTAGAATATTATATTTGTAAGCAATGTAGATATCAATATAATCAATGTAAAATATCAGTGAGATATTTATACCTCCCATTTTTCATACTGTGTATTTTACACTTATACCACATCTTGGTTTGACATGACATTTTCATCGGAAGTCATTGATCTATATTTAGATTGCACAAAATTTACAGTTGAAAAAGTAGATTGACATACCCAAGTTTTTCCAAGCATACTTAAGTTTTCAATAATTGAATAGTGCATCAGCGTTTATATTTAAGTGAATGAAGTGAAATAAAAGTAATTATTCAGTTTCTCAGTTGCACTAGCCGTACTCTAAGTTCTGAAGAGGCCCGTGTGACTGGCTGCCTTTTTGGACTCAGAACTCAGAGTAGTTCTAGAAGTTACAGATAAATGAAATTGAATAACCAAGGGTCAGTGGGTTCCCATTAAACAGTGACCTAAAACTGTCGTTTACTTGATAACCTTTTCCGTGCTGGTCAGGATGACAGAGGAAACTGCAGGGAAGGCAGGAAGTTTGGGTTTTGGGCTCCGAAGTGGCGCACGGCCAGCTCCTAATGGCATCCCGATACTGGCAGTTATTTTGCAAATGTTAACCCTGCCACCTAGTGACCACTTCCTGAATGTCCCGCGGAGATCGCCTTGTGGGAAGCTCTCTGCTGACTTCAGTGCTGCTGTCGTTCCTGACGGCTCTGAGACTCTCCCCTCTCAGAGACCCCCTGCCGCCGTGTCCTTACTGTTTCAGGGCTGCTTTAGCGAGGCCCACAGAATTACCTCCGAGTAACTTCCTGTTTCCCCACAACAGCCAGGTGCTTGGAGTCAGACAGGAATGTCTCAAGAGCTTCCATTCTGCGGAGTACTATGATGGGAGGAGGTTTCTGTCCCCACAGGGTAAGAGTCCCTGCTACCCCTTTGCACTTGATTCCATAAGAGCTCCCGAATCTTCTGGTTACTTATGTGAAATCTGTGAGGACAATGTCTTGCTAATATTTTAGCTCCACAGCCTGGTTCGTTGCGTGTCTGACAAATGTCAGTTGGATGGATGGTATAGGCACGCAGCCTTTTCCAGAACTCTTACCACATTTCTCCAGTTGGGGCATCTTCCCTTTTCTACTCTCAGTATGCATTGTCATCTTTTCTTTGGCTCTCAGTTTCTCCTTTACTCCATTAAATGCTCAGAACATGCTTAGCACATGACCTTGCCTTGAATTTTGGAAATACAAAGGCAAAGTTGGGAACTCCCTTATTTACACCCACCAGACTTCCCAACCTAGCTGCACCTGAACCTGATCCCCCGTGGACCCAATGCCAGGCCTTCCTGATGTGCTCTGAATTCCCTGGACTGCTCATTGCGGTCACCTGGGATTCTTTAACAATGGCTGATGTCTGGGTCTCAACTTGAAAAATCAGATGCCATTGCTCTCAGGTGCTGGCTTGACACGGACATTTTGAAATTACCCCTGGGGGATCTGAAACTACAGCCCAGATCGGGACTTGCTCTCCACGAGTTTCTCTTTTCAGCCTTCTCAGACTTTGGCAGATAATCCCACCCTCAGCTGCATTTCCAGTTATTTGCACTCTGTTGGGTCATTTTCTAAATCACACACAATGCCCCAAACTCTAGTATCTGAAAATAAGAACTAAAACGCCTCCCTGGGTCCAGTATCTTGCACAACTCTCCGCTCTCTTTATGTGTTTTCTAAGCCAAACAAACTTCCAGAATAAGCGGCCCACACAGGCTGTCTCTGCTTCCTCATTAAATCTACTCCCGACTGGGTTCTGCTCCAGAGCTGATCACCCTGTCATTCAAAAAGGCTCACCTGGCCTGGCCTCCAAGACCCCATGCTCACTTCCTGTTTCTTTCTCAGACTACCTTTCTGCCTGACCCCAGTGTGGAGTTCCCGAGGCGGTGCCCAGCTGTCTGTCCTCTTCACTGCACGTCTGGTGCTTGCCAGTCCCTGGGACCTCAGGGTTGGTAACGCCAGCTCAGCGTATCCAGACTCCTATTCACCTGCCTCTCCACGAGGTGAGGGACACGCATCCCTGATTTCATGTCCCAAACTGAATCTTGATGCCTCCCCCCACCCTTAGATGCTCCTCTTACAGTGGTTCCCAATGCCTTAGTTTCCTGTGGCTTCTGTGACAAATTACAAAAACAGGTTAAAATAGCATACACTCATGCTTTCACAGTTCCGCAGGCCAGAAATCTAAAATCAGTTCCGCTGGTCTGAAGTCAAGTGTCAGCAGGGTCACACTTTCTCTGCTCCTTGACGCCTTTAGTTTTTAATGGCTGTCAGCACTCTGTGGTGTGTCAGTGAGGGTTTTCCAGAGAAACAAAACCAATAGTGTGTGTGTGTGTATGTGTGTGTGTGTGTGTGTGTGTCTGTGTGCGTGTGTGATAAGAAAACTACCTTATACAATTATAGGGGCTAAGAAGTCACAAGATCTGTAGCTGGCCAGCTAGGGTCTCAGAAGGCCCGCGGTATAAATTCTGTCTGACGGCAGGGAAGGAGGCTGTCTCCGGGAAGCAGCCAAGCAGGAGAAGTTCCCTCCCACTCAGCCTTTTTTCCTACTCAGGTCTTGAATTGACTGGATGAGGGTCACCCACACTGAGAAGGGCAATCTGCTTTACTCAGTCCACCCAATTCAAATGTAAAGCTCATCCAGAAACCCCCAGCAGGATGTTTGGCCAAATGTCTGGGCACCCCATGGCCCAGTAGGATTGACATATAAAATTAACCATCACACTTGGCCTGTGGCTGAATTACTCCAGCCTTCAAATCTGTTCCATCTTCACATTGACTTGATGTGAGTGTGTGTGTATGTGTGTATTTTTTAATATTCTTCTGCTTCTCTCATAAACATGCATATTGATTGTATTAAGGCCCACCCAGATAATCCACAACAATCCTAGATCTTTAAATTAATCATACCTGCAATTGCAGCTTTTCCAGATTAGGTAGCATTTACAGATGCCACATATTAGGACCTAGATATCTTATAGGGGGCCATTATTCAGCCTACTAATTCATACAAAGGGCACTTTAATCTACCCAGTTGCTTAAACCAGGAACCGGGACTCACCTTTGTCATAAAATTCTCCCCAACCCTATCTAATCCACTAATAATCTCTATATTTTCTGTCTTCTAAATAAGTTTGAATCTGCTCAGCTTGTTCCATCTCCTCTGCCATCAATCTAACCCCAAACCTAATGTCTTTCCTGGACTATTTTAATACTACACTTATATCCATTGTAATTGTCTCCTTATTTGGGCAATTATTTGTTGAGTGTCTTCTGTTACTAAACTAAGTTCCATGAAGGCAGGTTCCCATATATTTTGTTCACCATTATATTATATTTTTAAAAAGATTTTATGTATTTTTTAGAGAGAGAGGAAGGGAGGGAGAAAGAGGGTGAAAAACACTGATCAGCTTCCTCTCACACGCTCCAAAGTGGGAACGTGGCCAGCAACACAGGCATGTGCCCTTGACCAGGAACCAAACCGGCGACCCTTTGTTTCACAGTCTGGGGCGCAGCCCACTAAGCCACACCAGCCAGGGCTCACCATTATATTTTAGACTCCAGCATAGTCAGCATAGTGCTTGGTACAGTGTAGGTGCTCAATAAATACAGACCACGTGTATGAATAAATGGTGGTACATTTTCTGCCACTTGCTCATTTAAACTATTTGTATTGATACCCATCTATATGCCAGACATCCCAGTGGGCTCAAAGGACCCACCAGTTAACAAAGTACATAGAGCTCCTTGCTGTCACGAAACTTTGCAGTTGAGTGTGGGGGAGGACAGGTGGCATAATACATAATCAACGCATTTCTTATATGTGCATGTGCTTATATTAACATTAGGAAGTGAGAAATGTATGAAAAAGAACAGCAGTTCAAAGGGGATTTTATACACTAGAAATTTTAGATGGGCTTGTGCTTTCTGAGAAATGGACATTTGAAAAAAACCTGAAAGGACTGAGGGGGTGAATCATGCATATGTCTGGGGGAAGAGCTCCCCAGGCCCAAGGGAACCACATGTGAAGAGGTCCCTGTGGCAGGAGTGGCCCCGGGCAGTTCAAGGGCAGGGAGAAGGCCACTGTGGCTGGAGTGATTGAGGCTGAGAGGAGGACATGGTGAGGACCAGGAGGCCGTGGGGCAGGATCCTGTGGCAGGGGCGTCCAACTCGCAGCCTGTGGGCCGCATGTGGGCCAGGATAGCTATGAATGCGGCCCAATACAAAATTGTAAATTTATTTAAAACATTATGAGATTTTTTTGTTTTGTTAGTGTTTGTGTATTTAATGTGTGGCCCAAGATAATGCTTCTTCTTCCAGTGTGGCCCGGAATTGCCAACAGTTTGGACACCCCTGAAAAGCCTTTTGTCCAAGTGAGATAGGGATCCTTTGGAGCAGTGGTCCCCAGGCTTTTTGGCTCCAGGGACTGGTTGCATGGAAGACAATTGTTCCATGGACAGCAGGGGCTTGGATGGACGGTTTGGGGTTGATTCAAGCTTATTGCATTCAAGTTCACCTGGGCTTGCACTCAGTTCCTAACAGGCCTGAAGTGGCACTGATCCATGGCCTGGAAGTTGGAGACCCCTGCTTTGGGTGTTTTTTAGCAGGAAAGAGACACTATCTGACTTACACTTTAAAGGTGTCCATTTGGCTGCTGTTTGGTCTATAGAGGAACAAGTGGGGAAACAAGAACCTCTGCTGAAGTTCTTTCAGTAATCAAGGAAAAAGGTGTTGGTGGCTTGAACCAGGTGGCAAGAAATAGGGAGAACTGGGATGTGTTTTGAAGAAAGGGTCAATAGGATTTCCTGATAGATTGGTTGTTGCAGGAGAGGGAGAGAGAGAGAGAGAGAGAGAGAGAGAGAGAGAGAGAGAGAGAGAGATATAAAGAAGGATGCCAAGGTTTTTGGCTTGAGCAACTGGAAGCTAGACTAAATTCAGAGTTTTGTCTGGAACTCCTACCCCAAACATCTTAATTCCCTAAAGTCACTGGAACGGCTCAACAGCCCTGAACTTTCCAGACAGCTGCACATAGTTGTCATCCATCCTTCCCCAGAGAGCGTCTGATCACTTTCCTAAACTTTCGCCCCACTCCTAGCTCACATCTGTGCACGGGGAGTGGGTTGGTTTGCCTTCAGCATGATGCTCAGCCCACAGCCCCTCTTCTGCCCACGACTCACAGTCACAGAGCATCCTTGGCTTCCTCTCCAGGTTGGTCTGAGCTTCGACACCCTGGGTGCGATTCTGACCCTTGGCTTCGAGTTCAGTTCAAACTTGGGGCTCTAGGAGGTTGGCCTGATAATTATTTGCTCACAAAAGTTTCTCCTTATTCTGGTCCAGAACGGTTGAAGTCATTCAGTAGCCCCTGGATCTCTGTTGGTCCAGGTGGACTGGCCAAGTGCCACTGTAGGTAATTGTGCTGTTTACTCAACCTCCTCCTGGATTTTTAATATTCTCATAAATAGGGGCTTTGGGCTAGTCTGTATGGCAGGCTCAGAGACAAGACCATTCCATTAAGAAGCTGCAGCTGTTTTGAAAGAAGGCTCATTTTTCCTGTCTATGTGCAGCTATGTGGCTACGTGTATCGGGTGCTACAGGGCTTTGGGAAGTGTTTTGGATTGTCGGTGGCCAAGAACAGTTGTCTGTGACAGGCTCTGTTTTGACCCAGTCCCTCACCCCACAGAGGTCTCTCAGCAAGTTACATGAAGGGGTCAAACATCTCGGGTTTCCTGCTCCAATGAGAGTCAAGAGTGCCACTGTTTCTCCCAATTTTCGGTTGCCAGGTGGACCCTCTGTGTGAGCGTGTATGTCCATGAGCCCATAAACCCATGCTTATGTGGAATGAAAAGCCTCTGGGGAAAATGAATTTAA